CTCCCTCCCGCTCTCGCCGTCACTCCCTCCCGCTCTCGCCGTCTCTCCCTCCCGCTCTCACCGTCACTCCCCAGCCTATTCAGCCTCTTCTTTAACTCAAACCCTCCAGTCTCGGCAACATCCCTGTACATTTTTTCTGAACCCTTTATGAATAGGAAGGGTTTAGAGGGATATGGGCCAAATGCTGGCAAATGGGACCAGATTAATTGAGGCTATCTGGTTGTGTGGCCCCTATAAATCCTCACATATTTATTTATTGGTGGGCATGCCCTGAAGGACAACACTCTGAGGCCTGATTGCTGCTGTTAAAAAAGAAAATCTGGGAATAGCTGGCCGTTTTCCTTCAATTCCCTCTACACTCAACTCTGCAGTTCCTGTGAGCTATTAGAATTTCAGCCACACAGTTTCTTATCAGCCTGTTCAGACATGCTTTGACATACCTCTAGGGTAGGTGGGATTCCATCCAGGGCCTTCTGACCCAGAGGCAGGGACACTACCACTACTCCACAGGAACCCTCTACTCCTGTTCTAGCACCTCCCCACACTCCCTATATTCCATGTACCCGCTCAACAACTAAAACGTCAAATCCTTCCCCATCCTACAGCTTCTGTGCAGCCCCTAGTTCTCATTATAGAAAAGGCTGAATAGGCTGGGGCTTTTTCTTCATGGAGTGTCGGAGGCTGATGGGTGACCTTACAGAGGTTTATAATATGGTGTGAATAGCCAAGGTCTTTTCCCCAGGATGGCAGAGTCCAAAAGTAGACAGCACAGGCTTAAGGTAAGAGGACAAACATTTAAAAAGGATTTGAAGGGTAAGTCTTTCACACATAGGGTGGTGCGTGTATGGAATGAGCTGCCAGAGGAAGTGATGGAGGCTGGTACAGCTACAATATTTAAAAGGCATCTGGATGGGTACATGAATAGGAAGGGTTTAGAGGAATATGAGCCAAACGCTGGCAAATGGGACTAGATTAGATTGGATGTGTGGTCAGCACGGATGAGTTGGACTTAAGAGTTTGTTTCCATGCTCTATGACTCTGTGATTGCAGTGCCTGGAATTAGACTTGACCAGTATTGCAGACTGGCACATTTCAAGGTCCAGGACTAATTGTGGACGGACACCCTAATGCTTAGAGCAGTCTCCATAGAAGCTGAGTGGGGAAAGGTCACTGTCTTTGACCTGCTGATATACACAGAGGTGCTGGAAACTGAAGGGCCCTTTGGTTGTGTGCCTCACAGCTAATGTACCTTGTGAACGAAGACATGAGGAGAAATTTTGAGGAGCCTCAGAGGTGTAGGCTCTGTTAGAACAAAGAGAAGATGAAAGTGTACAGAAAGCTCCCAAAAACAACGTGATAATGGCTTGATCATCTGTTTAAGGGATATTGGTCAATTATAAATATTAGCCAGGACACTGTGGGTAAGTGCCCTGGTCTTTTTGAGAATTATTAAGCATTTTCCCCATGCAACTGAAAGAAAATACTTTGAGAAGAGATTACAAAACATTGAGCATACCTTAATATGCTGAGAGTTAGTGCAGAATTGATGCGTACAACGTGAAAGTTTTAAATTAAAACTCTCGACTAGATTATGGTGGCTGACTATCAGTTGGCAATCTCAGTAATGCTGCGGGTTTTGGTGCATTTTGACAAAAATTTTACAGCTACTAACAGTAAAGTCATAAAATACAGGAAATCAAACATTGTTCCCAGCATGGTCCCTGAACAGAAATATCAAAGTAATAAGGACATTCATTTGGAATTCAGATTTCCACTGGATTTAATAACAAATCAAATAAATAATAAGATTTTGCAGCATACACTTCAATATCACCAGATACAGTGCCATGAACTACTGTTTAGGTACAGAACGAGAGATTACAGGAGCCATCCACCAGATGAAGGGAAGGCTATAATAAGACTGTCGGTTGCATTACAACAACATTCTTTTATACTGTGTCTTTAACATAGTAAAACATTGCAAAGTATTTCAAAAGAGATATCAGGGCAATCGATACAGAGACAAAGAGAGACCCATTTTGTTTCATTTGTTAATGAGATGTGGGCATCGTTGGCTGCGCCATCCCTAGTCGTCCTTGAGAAAGTGAGAATAAATATGTGCGGTAGGTTGACCCACAATGCCCTTAAGGACGGAATTGCAGGATTTTGACCCACCAACAGTGAAGGAATGGAGATATATTCTGAGTCAGGATGGTGAGTGACTTGGAGGGGAGCTTGGAGGTGGTGGTGTTCCCATGTACCTGCTGCCATTGTCCTTCTCGATGGAAGTGGTTGTGGATTTGGAAGGTGCTGCTCGAGGATCGTTGGTGCATTTCTGCAGTGCATCTTGTAGATAGTACACACTGCTGCTACTGAGCGTCGGTGGTGGAGGGAGTGGATGTTTGTGCCATTTGAATGGGCTGCTTTGTCCTGGATGCTGTTAAAGCTGTACCCATCCAGGAAAGTAGGGAGTATTCCATCACACTCCTAACTTGTGCCTTGTAGATGGTGGACAGGAGTCAGGAGGAGAGTTACTCGCCGCACTATTCCCAGCTTCTGACCTGCTCTTGTAGCCACTGTGTTTATGTGGTGAGTCCAGTTGAGTTTCTGGTCAATGATAACCCCCAGGATGTTGATAGCAGAGTATTTAGTGGTAACACCTCTGAATGGCAAAAGATAATGGTCAGTTGGTCTTTTGTTGGAAATGTCTATAGCCTGGCATTTGTGTGGCGCGAATGTTATGTGCCACTTGTCAGCCCAAGCCTGGATATTGTCCAGACCTTGTTGCATGTGAACATGGACTGCTTCAGTACCTGAGGAGTCATGAATGGTGCTGAACATTGTGCAATCATCGGCAAACATCCCCACTTCTGACCTTATGGTGGAGGGAAGGTCATTGATGAAGCAGCTGAAGATGTTTGGGCCGAGGACACTGCCCTGAGGAACTCTGCAGGGATGTCCTGGAGCTGGGATGATTGACCTCCAACAACCATGACCATCTTCCTGTGTGTCAGGTATGACTCCAACCACCGTAGAGTTTGCCCCCTGATACCCATTGATTCCAGTTTTGCCAGGGCTCTTTGATGCCACACTTGGTCGAATGCAGCCTTGATATCAAGAGCTGTCACTCTCACCTCACTTCTGGTCCAAGTTTGAACCAAGGCTGTAATGAGGTCAGGAGCTGAGTGGCCCTGGCGGAACCCAAACTGGGCGTCACTGAGCAGGTTATTGCTGAGCAGGTGCTGCTTGATAGCACTGTTACTGACATCTTCCATCACTTTACTGATGATCGAGAGGAGACTGATGGGGCGGTAATTGATCGGGTTGGATTTATCCTGCTTTTTGTGTACAGGACATACCCGGGCAATTTTCCACATTGTCGGGTAGATACCAATGTTGTAACTGTACTGGAACAGCTTGGCTAGGGAGCGGCAAGTTCTGGAGCACAAGGCTTCAGTACTATTGTCGAAATGTTGTCAGGTCCCGTAGCCTTTGCAGTATCCAGTGTCTCCAACCGTTTCCTGATATCACGTGAAGTGAATCAAATTGGCTGAAGACTGGTATCTGTGATGCTGGGGACCTGTGATGCTGAGTGTCACAGACTAAGGACAGGGATAATGTAGATAGAATTATGAATTTTTTACCAAACGCAATGAATAGAACATGGAGCAGAGACTGCAGTATCCTATAGGAAGGAAGATTTTCAAAGGACACATATAAAAAGAGTGTTAGAAATAAATACTCGGTTTGAAGGGCTAGGTACACAAGGCTGATGGGCTGAAAGGCCTCCCTCATTGCTGTGATTTTTATGATCTGGTGCTCACATGCTCAAACAACCAAGTATTGTTGATTATTAGGGACTGCGGAACTCGCTTCTGAAAATAAAGGCTGTGGAGTATTCTGACATTAAATACAATTGATTAACTTTAACATACCCTTTAAATAAATTAAGAAGGTGTAACATCACATTTTTATTTGCTACGTAAAATGATACTCCAAGATCACATATTGCTCCACTTATATCTACAACACTCCCGGGTAATCTGAATAACATAAATATTTAATAATCAAGGGGTAACTGAGGTGGGGGGGGCAGCTTTATCATTTCTAACTAATGGTCCCATCTGTCTGTCTCTCTCTCTCTCTCTCTCTCGTAAGGAATAACTGAGTGTTTATTTTTAACCAAGACTGGAAGTGTACAAGATAACACAGTAAAAAGACTCTGCACAACATCAACAGTCAGAGGAGGAACTTATCTCACTGAAAGACATTTTCACAAATTGACTGAGAAACAAGGTGACCCATCCAGCGGTTGAGCCAGCCTCAGATTTCATAGTTCCTGAATTTCCGGAGCAGTTCTGAGGGAGAGTCTGCTGACCAGCGGAAAATGTAATGGCAGTGGTTCACGTTGGAAAAGCCTGGAAGAAAACAGATATCAAACAGGTCGGAATGTGGTTCTCCGGTGGCATTGCTCATTGCGAGTCACAGGACATTCCACTGGGAATTGAAATGTCTGTACTGGGGGTGGGGGTAAAATGTTCCATGGAGTATCTGTGCTGCATACATTATATGACATGCAAGACTTTAATATATTATAAACGTTTACAGTCTGGACCCAATAGCGGGTTCAATAGCTTTAGGGCTTGAGCTCTCCCATGTCTTTACCCCGACCCACAAACACCAGGCCTTGTTATCACATGGTTCTGTTATCACATGTTCTGAGGAAGGATCACTGCTACCGAAATGTTAACTCTGTTTTTTCCTTCACAGATGCTGCCAGATCTGCTGAGCTTTTCCAGCAATTCCTATTTTTTGTCCTTGTTATCACATAGTCTGCGATTACATACAACCCATTGTTAGCCACTTACAGTCCCCATTAATAGCTATTCACGCTCCTAGCCAGATTGTCATCCACTCCTTTTGTCTGTCCAACTGTTCTTCTCTCTCCTTAGGCTCTATCCTCACCTATCATTTACTCCTTATCCCTTTCCTCTATCCTATCATCTATATATAAACTGACACTTTCCCAGCTACCATCCGTTCTGAGGAAGGGTCATTCGACCCAGAACATGAACTGATTTCTCGCCACAGATGCCTCTAGACCTGGTCTGCTCCAATGTAACAATAGTACCCAGATTGTAGCACGTAGTTCATAGATCATAGATCATCATAGAATCCCTACAGTGTGGAAACAGGCCCTTTGGCCCAACAAGTCCACACCGACCCTCAGAGCACCCACCCTGACCCATCCCCCTATAACCCACCTAATCTACACATGCCTGAACACTATGGGGCAATTTAGCATGGCCAATCCACCTAGCCTGCACATCTTTGTACTGTGGGAGGAAACCAGAGCACCCGGAGGAAACCCACGCAGACATGGGGAGAATGTGCATACTCCACACAGACAGTCACCCAAGGGTGGAATCAAACCCAGGTCCCTGGCACTGTGAGGCAGCAGTGCTAACCACTGAGCCACCGTACCACCCATCTCTTTGGGATTTTTGTTTCCCCTTTATTCATTCATGGGATGAAGGTGTCGCTGACCAGGCAGCATTTATTGCCCATCCCTAATTGCCCAGAAGGCAGTTAAGAGCCAACCACATTGCTGTGGGTCTGGAGTCAGACCAGGTAAGGATGGCACTTTCCTTCCCTAAAGGGCATTAGTGAACCAGGTAGGTTTTCCCCAACAATTGGCAATGGATTCATGGTCATCATTAGACTCTTAATTCAAACTCCAACATTTGCTGTGGCAGGATTCGAAACTGGGTCCCCAGGATGCTATCTGGGTTCCTCCAGCGATAGTACCACTAGGCCATCGCCTCCCTATAAATAAAAGGACAGATCCCATCACGTACATTGACCATCCTTAGTTGCTGCCAATCAGCTATTTACAACCCAAGTAAACACTGAGCGCACCATGATTATGTAAATTCAATGAGCTTTTCACCTCATGGTCGTGTTTAATCCTCTACACTGACTGGAATACAAAGGTCCACTGATTTCAAGCATATTGAAGGTATATTTCTTCCAGTGTATATTGTCACATTGGTCTGTAAAACTGGTTGCTTCAGTTTTGCACCAGTTTATATCAGGAACATGCTGAAATATTTGTAGCCCTCACTTTTACTTCATGTCTCCAGCCCTTGTTTAGTTGCCATTTCCACAGCATTTACATTCTGCTTAAATATTTAAAAATTAAAGTCAGTCCTTCATACTCACACGGACAGGTGAGGCTTTCGGAACAATTTGGGTCTTCACTAGGCATTTTTTTCTCTTCGATTCCAGCACCAGCCTGATCAGCCTGTTCCTCGTTGTCCTTAGACACTGGAGTCCATTCCTCCTGTGCTTGTTCTCTCCATTCCCCTGTCTTTGTCGAGCTCTCTGAATGTACAAAAGGTGCCTCCAGCATTGGTTCCTTCTTACCTCTCACAGCCCAGTGCATGGACTAGGAAACACAAGAGATGTCAAGGTTGTAATGTTTCACCAATTTCTGATCAGTTCACATCTTTTACATTCATGTCCTTGATGTGGGATTTTTTGTTTTGTAATTATACAGATCTTGCCCCTGAAATTCTGAAAACTGCAGCACAATATTTGAAATGAAGGGTAAACGTGGTGAATTGTCACACAGGATGCAGCCTTTCACACAACATCCATTGATCCAGATCTGGGAGTGAAGGTTAGTCTGCCCAGCTTGCTATTCTATTTGTTAATCAACTCCAACCTTCCTCAGCAATGCAAAACATATCTTGTGGGCAGGGGCAGGGGCGGGGGGGGGCAGAGATTTTAAATCTGAATGCGAGGTCCACTTCAACAATAAAACTTCCCACATTTGAACCGTTGCTATGTTAGCCTTGAGCAGTTAAATATTCCGTGATTAGCTGTCAGAGGGAGCCCCTGTCCAGTGCCAGTGTGTTAGAAACTGATTGGTTATTTTACATGTGCCCAGTGTTCACTGTAAGGGTCAGGATGCATTCTCACGGCATTCATCCCACAAAGAACAGAAACACTGATGGATTTCCCACAAAAATTAGTCACGTTCACATTAAACACAGACACCTGTCTGTGTCACACATCGATCAACTCAACCAGCAACACAGCACACTCACACCGACACACACCGTCACACCCCGACACACTCACACCGACACACACCGTCTCACTCAAACCGACACACACCGTCTCACTCACACTGACACACACTCTGAAACACACCATCACACTCACACCGATACACACTGACTCACACACCATCACACTCACACCGAAACACACCATCAAACTCACACCGACACACACCGACACACACACTGAAACACACCGACACACTCACCATCA